GAATGCGAACAAGTGCTGCAGAAGCTCACAAAGTAATTCCTGTTTGTAAAACTTCTGTAATGTTTACAAGACTTGACCTTACCATGGAATATAGCTGCATTTACACAAATTGCTTTCTCTAAAATAGTCAGAGGTGGGTCAAAAACCAAATCCCCTGACAAAGTAAATAAGAGAATCTGCGATGCTAGGACCTTCCTTAGAGCTGTTCTACCTGGCAAAACTTGCCATTGCTTCCTTGGTGAGCCCCAAAAGATTGCTAAATGAAGGGGCATTGCTTGAAGGTCTGTTGTTCCACAGGCCTAAGAAGAAGGAGGTTTGTGCCCTCCAAAAAAATTGGTGCTGTCAAATGGTATAAGAGGTAATCAATCTGTAGAGATCATAAATTACTTTTAGCGTTTTCTCTTTAAAAATCCCCTCAAATTTTTGTGCCTGGTCTTTGGAGATCAAAGTATCGCTTCTGTCTCTTGCCTTACTTACGTAGATAAAATTTGCGTTCTTTTCATGCATGGGTACATTGATAAGTCTAGTGCATACCTTTGTAACTACATTTAACTCTTATTTTTTCAGGTTACACCTCTTAGAAAGTTGGAGGGTGTTTGCCTGTTAAAAATTTCTGGAAGAAATATCTTCATCTGATAATCTGACACTTTTTATGCCCTATACAAAAAAAAGAAAAAAAAAAATCGTGCAGCTGTTGACCTCGGTTTTTCTAAATGTGTGCTTTACAATTTTTGTTTCTGGTTTGGGCAGGGAGATTGGAAATAACAACAGAGCTCTGTTGCCGTGGTTGTTCCTGCAGAAGCAGAAGTACAACAAGTTGTGTTGCCCGGTAGAGGGAGTGAAAGCATCACCGTTACAGGTAATGTAATCCCAGGTAAAGCATGGAATGGGGTTAATGAGTTTAGGGTTAAATTAGTTATTTGGACCTAAGAGACAGCAGACAAACTGAGTATTTGACGACTTCTAGTAACGAATGATGAAATTTAGATGTTGTTGCCTTTCATGTAAATACTGTGTGGAATTTTCTGCAGGAAGCAGAATAATAGTTACAATTAACTGGGTATTCTAACTTTAAAATGAATATGCTGTCCCTGGAAGCTTGTGCTGTAGGTTAATACAGACATTCTTCATCAGAGTCAATAGTCTGCTCTTTAAATAACAAGATTTACTGATACTTTTTCATTGTTGCTGTTCTCATATATCGAAATCCATTAATGTCTTCCACATGAACCAAATGTCCTGTGTCTGTTTGCAAACACATTGAACCGTATGAGGGTTGTTTCAGGAGAAGCTTGGGATGTGCAAATAAGTGCTGTGTAAATATCTTACATAACTTTATTTTAAATCTAGACTGAATATCGCAACAAATGTGAGTTCTTGATTGGGATTGGTGTAAATCAAGAAGACAAAACTGTGGGTTGTCGTCTTGGCAAATATAAGGGTGGTACATGTGCTGTAGTGGAGC